AGGGAGAGCCAAACAATTTCAGCAAGAACCACTCACTGAGCGAATGTTAACAATATTTGATTGTGCTTTCAAAGTTTCTGTATCACGTTCCAACTGCTGCTTCCAGTCTAAAAGCAATGCTTCATCCTGCCACATTTTGGAAGTATTAGCTGTGATATTAGAGGAAACTACTTGAGTAAAAAGGGATACGTGCTCCTCACCTGAGGTAACTGGATAGTAACTTTGTTTGGAAAGAGCCGAGTTACATGTTTCATTGTTTTGGGCATTTCTTTGCTCCTATCATGCATTCTACCAAAATTGTCCTGTATATTATTTGAAATAATCAAAAATCATTTTGACAATTCAGAGGGATGCATTACCCAAAGATTAAATAGGTTCTTTTAATCAACACATATTTAATGCTCAAAGGCAGAAACATATATATATATAACAATCACATGCTTCTCTTTTCTTAAAGCCGGAGAAAAAAGAGGAAATAAAAACTTATTATATATTTAGATAAACAATAATTTACATCCTGCTTCATTTTTCTCTTGAAGTTCCAAAAAGATCTGACTGAGGAGAGGTGGAGTCAGCTAACCAACAATTCATGTTTTTCAATGCTGCTATAACATGAGAAGAAGACTTGAAATTTTCTCAACAGTTAAAATCATGCGAGAATCTTAATTAATGCAATTATTCTTAGAAATTGATCCAATAGTCATGATCAACGCCTCCTATCAAGGGCAAGCTGGCCCCATCCACATGACAAACATACAAGTTCAATTCATCTGAGGGAATAAAGGTGAAAGAAGTAAGAAAAAAGAAGTGATATTTCCCAAATGCTACGCGCACATTCACTACCTGCATAATGTGTATCATAACATATGCATGCATACAAAGGATTATAGAAGCATACATGTTTACACGCATACAAATTCATTTGTACATACAGAGTTTAAGCCATATACATAAGCGTGTTCTTGAGTAAGAGAATAGAGATATGAAGATACCATCATATATCTAAGTATTGTTCATTTGAGATGGAACTTATGTAGTTTTTTAATACTTGCACCACTGTCAGGTGTTTTTATTTGGCATGACTTACAGTGGAAATAGAAACTTTTTTCTTTAAACAAAGTCAAAGTGTAGTAGGTCTGTTAGAGCTGGGCTTAAGTTAAGTAGCAGGACTAAGCCAAATCCAACCTGCCTGAAAAAATGGCTAGGTAATCCTGTTTTAGTATCCTGACAATCTCCACAAGCTTAGATGAGCCATCTATATCAATAACTTTGAGCTGGTGTTGCACTTCACCCCTAAGATTCCCTTGACATAACAAGCAAAACAACATGCTAATGACACTTGCATACCAATTCTTCGGAGAGTTAAGAGGGCTCTCAGAAGTATAATCTTTTCTAACCAGGCTCGACAATAAATGATCAACTTTTGAACATTCAATTTTAGCAGGAATTTTGTAAATTAGAAAAAGCATTTACATCTTCTGAATCTGTGTTCTCTAACTAACCTGTTTGCTTTTTCACACACCACCTGCTGCCACCACCTCCAAAATAAGATTTTAAAGTAAAAAATTCTGGACCACACCAACACTATCCTATATGCATGGCTACAACCATTCACTGGGAGTGGACAAACGGCATCTTTCTCAGAAATCTTCAAGGACCTAACTTAGAGAAAGATGAAAGATTGTTCAAATATAACATTCCCGGCAGGTTAAAAAAATTGCTTAGCGCTATTGTTGATATCTAAAGCATCTGCATCCTAAGATACTCGAAATTTCTTGATCTGAAAGACAGTAGCCCAAAATATTGGAAGAATAATAATTGTCTGATAATGAATCACATTCAATGATAGTAACATAAAACTAAAATTTAGAACCAACAGAATCCATGAGGTTGAAACTGGAAGTTTTCTTTTCAGACGAAAAAACAACCAGCAGCAAGCCAAAATGAAAACTCAAGATAAGGATCAGCTACTAGCACATGTTATAGAAACATAACAAGCAAAAGCACAACAATTATCCACTGTTCTAGTATAACTTAAGGATTAAAAAATTTCAAAAAAGATGACCATCTCCCGTACCGGAAAAGCAAGGTCAAGCAGTGCCGTCTGGTTGCCTCCAAACTTTGTGAATAAAAGCCCACCAGGATGGGACTGGAAAACAAAAAGAATATCTGTAAACAAAATATTCTGTGTGGGCACATCCATGTGCCAGAACAAATTATGATAGTTTACAGAAAATATAATATAGCAAACCAAATCCTCATTTCTCCTTCCGATTATCCATCTGGGTGTGGGAGCCAATAACAACAACATTAGCTGGTAATTTTCGATCTTAGCCCTTATAACTGCACATGCCTCATTGTTCCCAACCATAGATTTCTCTATGTCTTTCACAAACAATATCATGGCAGTGCTTTTGCACTCGTTTACAGCAACCTAGAAACATGAGACACCCACAAAGATAATACTTCAAGTTGTAGGAAAGCCAGCAAAAAAAAAACACGATTCTTCCTCAACAAAAGAGCAGCATTTACCTCATAAAGTTCATTAACTGCAAGCTTCTCTATATCGTCTCCTGCAGAACTGTCCAAGCGAAGAGAACTAGCTGTAGAGACAAAACATAATCAGATAAAACCCACACATTACAACCAATAGAAGAATCAATATATAAATATATGTGAAAGGCGGTTTAAGAGAATCACCAGTACAAAAGAAACCATGATCCTCTTCACAAAGGCCACCAAGATCGGTGCCTTCTGGAATACACTTATCAAACCTGACCCCGACTTTTGAGGAACCATTTTCTTCAAAAGCAAGGAGCACTTGACCTCGAAAACCAACCATTGGTCCCCTGCTCAGAAAGATATCAGAAGAAACTTAGAAATTGGCAACTAAATGTAGAAATATAGATTTCACAAATTAATTTTACCTACTGCTTTTTCATGAGACAGGACGATGGGATGCGAGACTAATCAAAGTACCAAGAACACAATTTTGGCGCAAGAATAGATTTCAAGGGTTCTATTTTGTGTTAAGAAGTGGCGGTTTCTTTTTATTTAAGCTACAGTAATCCAGGGTTATTATGGTTGTTTGCTTATTCTTTGCTCTAATTGTTATATGAACCTGTTATGCTTATTCTTTGCTCTATTTGAACCAGCATATTAGAGTCAATAATGCTTGAATACTTCTTGTTGTCTGGAGGTTCTCAAGTAGGCAAAAGATTTCAATTTGTTCAAGATGACACATCCACATAAGGCCATCATAATACCAAAGACAAGCACATATGGACGCAAGACTCGGTAGTGACGGAAAAATAAATATATCTAAATTTCTTGCCAGCAATTTTAAGATCCATCTTCTATATTGATTAAATAGGAAAACAAAGCAATAAAGAGGAGAAAAGGTAGTGAACAATAAAAGGAACAGGAGAATACCGTAGTGTAGGCTGCAGTGAAGAAAGTGCATTAGGTGAGGCCCCAATAAACTTCACTCTATCACCTGAAATTTTAACAATCATTTTTCAACTACAGATTGAAATGTCATGAACAAAAATTGATCATCAAATCATGGCATACGAAAAAAAGCACTAGATAAAAAAAAAGACTATAGGAATAGCATGCCTTTTTTGAAGGTATAATTTTTGGACGATGCAGTAGATACTTCTTGCTTTGGCATTGCCTGCGAGCTTAGAGTTGAACCACCAGTTATATCAGCCTCAACACTGGAAGTGGGTTTCTTATGTTGTATCACAGTAGTTTGTGCAGCACGTTTAGTGTAGAAAGAAGTTCTTTCAGGTTTCAAGCTTTCTTTAGGGAGATCTGATTCCCTGGCAGTTGAGCCCTGGAATTTATGTAAAAATGAAGAGTAGATGGCTCAGATGAAAACACACAAATCTCAGAAATCAAACAAAGTTACAACAGTGACAAGAAATCAGTAGTTCTCAATGAGTGTTGCACCTAAGAACATGTGATCCTCTCAAAACTGATACTTCAAGGGTTAGGTTGCTGATTTATAGGAAAAAAGTAGCTGGAATTACTTCCCCCGTGCCCCCTCCTCCC